TGTTGAGATGTGTTGAGATGTGTTGAGATGTGTTGAGATGTGTGAAGATGTGTTGAGATGTGTTGAGATGTGCTGAGATGTGTTGAGATGTGTCGGGATGTGTTGAGATGTGTTGAGATGTGTTGAGATGTGTTGGGATGTGTGAATCGAAGACGAGCGAAGCAGTGCACCTTGAAGAGCTGCAGCTCAGAGGCCTGTGAGACCTGTGAGTTTCCAGTCGAAGCGGAACGATTTTGTTGGCATCCTAGATGCTCCCAGAGCCTAAAACACAATCAGCAAATTGAGCTGCTCACACCACCAATCAATTCAAAAAGACAGCGTTGCAACATGGACAAATTGAGAAAGTCAGAAAATTGATCATATCTGATATGAAAAATCAGTACTCTGCTTTTGGAATCTCACAAGTGTATCCCACATTGCACATGTCGGGCCTGAGGCCTTGAGATGATTCAAGTCTCTATGTCTGGCCACTTGGCAGCAGCGGGAAGGGATGCAGCTTGCACAGAGTCATCCATCCTCTGGAAATTGAGGCATGGACATGCGAGGCGATAGCCTGAGTCTTCCCGTCTTCCCGTCTTCCCGTTTAGTCTTTGTTCTTCAGTGGCATTTTGCAGAGAAATGCTGCACTGCGCATCTCAAGTTTGATCGAGATAGTTTGATTTCACACGCGCTGAGCACCAAGGGTGTTTGCGCGTCGCGGCTGAGCACCTTGGCAGCATGGCTTTGGTGCAGAAACGCTGTTGCGACTGTGGAATGAAAAACAGGCAAAATTCAGAACGGTTTTGGTGATGCCGTTTGTGTTGTTAGACGATTGTCATTTGATGTTTTTTGCAGGTGTTGCAAAGGCGGCTTCCAGTGTCTTGCGATCTCAGATTTGTTTTTTCCGTTTTCACAATTCGCTTGTCCGGCTTAAGACATGTGCCTGGAGGCGGCTGCACCCATGACACATTGACAAGTTGCTCTGCAGTCGCACGCGAAGTGGGTTCAAACCTTAGATATCTTGGGGTCTTTTGCCAAAAATGGTTGTGGCAAATCGGTATGTTATGCGCGGGTGGGATTTTGGTTATTTGTGGCCTAGCCGTTTGCTCGAGTTGCTTGCCTTAGTTGGCCCGAAGTGACTCTGATGTGCAGGTTGTTTGCAACTGCAAACATGCTCATCACATTGAGGCATGGATACTGTGATGTACTTCGGCACGGCTTGACCCTCAGACGGGATTGAGATAGAGAGACCACGAAATCCGACATTGTTTCTTTTGATGCCAGACACGCCGTAAAACTTCAGCTTCCAAGTTTGCCGAAACTGGTTGCAGCAGATTTGAATCTGGGCTGGCAATCCTCAAACAGCTTTCGCAACCCAGCCAAAAGCTGATGTTTGTTTTCCTAGGCATTTGCTCCACCCTTTCCTGATCCTGCTGTTTGGGGATTAGGTCCCATGCATTGCCCGAATCGAATTCGGGTAGCGTTTGCCTGTGGCCTGTGTGTTTTGTGAAGTTGTGACAAGCGCTAGTTGAACCTACTGCGCATCTCCATTCTCAGGGGATTATCATTTTCACCAGGCCGTGGCTGTGTAGAGTTTGCCCGCCACCCCAGTGTCCTGATTGCCATCAACAGCTGGCATATACTTAAGTTTTTGTGCAGAGACATAGCACGAAAGGAAAACTGCAAGAACAAGCTTGTCTTTTGACATGCATCGGTCGGTTTTGCGATCCCACCAAAATTTCACAGGTGATCTTGGGCCTTGCGCAGACGTTTCAACTTGGAAGGGAAGGGTTTTGCCAAAGCACCCTCTGAGATTACGGAGAACATCAACGATCTGAAAGTTCGGATCGATGTGTGAACCTCAGACAGTATGTAGTGAGGCCTAGATCCGAAACTGTATCTGTTTTTCTTTTTCATAGCATTTCATGTGTTGCCACTAGATTTGGGTCACTTGAGAGCTGTTTGCCCTTTGTCCTTTGCGCTTGTTCAACTGGCGCCTGCCATTTGTGCAGCATGGACCTGCTGCCTCAGGACCCAGAAATATTACTCGGTTTTTGGCTTGCGGGTCTGGAGGCTGCAGACGACAATGGACTTGAGAGGGTAAGCAGATAACACTTGATACACTTGCAAAGGGCCCAAAACACGCCAATTGTAAAGCATTGAGATTCAGGCCTTGTGCTAGCAGCTTGCAGTTGAGTTCACCATTGAAGTTTCTGGCAGGACATGAAGATCGTGTCGCTACCGGATTTCTCATAGCAGGCTTCAAAAAGAAACTGCGCCCGTGACCTGTGGCTCCGTTGGATGGTGACCCGCTTCCTGCAGTTGTGAGAAGACACACATTTTGCCGCAGTCACAGCATGCGCGCAGACTCAAAGGCGGAATTGATTTTCTCTGCAGCTGTTCTCAGTTTTCAGTTTCTATGGCATCGTGGGCCTACTTCATCGAACCCTTTGCATACTTGACCCCTGTTTCCGCTTCAGTTTTTCTTGCGGCTATTTTGTGAGCCAGGGCCCCTCAAATTGCTCTTCCGTTAGTTTAACTTGTCCATAGAAGGGGCGACTGAGATTTCAGCCCCCGACACTCTTTTACAGAGCTGGCGACGTAGTTCACATATGTGGATCCTTTAGTTTTTCCTTCGGCGCGATGTGTCCTGGGAGCCACAAAGGAATGGCTCCCAAAACAGACGAGCGTGACAGAGTGAGAAAGGTATGTAAAAGAGATCAAGAACAGAGTCTTTGTTGCTGTGAATCAAGATTTTGGAATCATTATGAATCATTCTGAATGCCCTGGTGCATCAGAGTCGAGAACCGGCACAACATACAGAGGAGGCGAGCAGTGTGTCTTCCAGCTGCTTCCATGTCTGATGCTTTGCCGTTTTCAGCAGCAAATCTGCACTTTAGTCACCTTACCCATTTCATCAACCCTTCAGTACCGAAACAGGAGAGGTCATACACGGATCGGTAGTCATGAGAAGATTTACGAGATGGTAGGAACCGTTCCAGGTAATTAGAAAAGCTGGTGATTTCAGAAACTTAATCCAACAAAGGAATGGACATGATGGTTCAGCCATTTCACACATGAAATCAGGATGATGTCGTGTCATGTCATGTGCAATTAGAAGGATCTGTACCAACGCAGGACTCATGATGATGTCGCTGACATGCAGCATTTTCTTTGCTCTCCCAACCATGGGACAGGACAGGGACGTGGTTCTTGGAGGCGACATGAGAATGCTATGAATATGAATCATCAGGTTATCATCCAGTTTTCAAAATCAATATGAATCATCAAGTTGCATATCCTGAGGCTTCGGACCGCCACCCAAAGTACTGTAAGAAGATGAACGGCTGAATTTTTGTGACCGGGCCATGGCATTGAGTCAGATGAAACGTAGCACTTGTGTTGGTTACAAACCTGCAGGAAGTTCCAGAGACAACATCAGCATGTGCCTTGCAGAAGGCTGCAACGCTTTCATTGGCAACTGCACGAGTTGAAGAACATGTGGCGCAGCACGCGACAGTGGCACCGATCCTGGGCAGTTTTACGAAAACATAACGAGTGACCGGCGAAAGCAAACACTGTGGCAGGGCGTCAATTATTGTGTAAGGAGCATTGCTCAAGGAAATGAAAAGCAACATGAAGAGCATTGCAAACACATTGAACGAGAGTGAAACAGTGAAACCGGAGCAGATCAGTGTCATTGTTTGGTTTTTGTATTGTTCAAATATTGAAACATTTGCTGAAATCCAAGGACCATGGCAGAAGACAGCACTGACATGCTCGGGCTTTTGCTGCTTCTGGGGTTGGTGGCCTTCGGCCCGCAGGTGCCGTAAAGAAACACAGACCATACTCACAGTGATGTTCGCCACACAACATTCACAATTTCTTCATTCTTTCGTGTTCACAGCACTCTGAAACAGTCTGACAGAATCTGAGGGAATCTGCCAAAATTCAAGAACTGCACTGTTTTGTTTCTGAGAAATGCAGGTGGCCCGTCCAATAATATCTTCAATTCGTAGCTGGCTGTTCACCTTCCGGTCCTTGGGAGAAGCAAATGGACTTCCTGCATCGCAGCGGTTTTGCCAAGACGACCCTTGCCAACTCGTCACAGCATGTCACAGCATTCGGGAAATCCATCGGAATCCGTTCGAGGTTGAAAGATATTGACGTATCCCAGGTTATCTCAATAATGCAGAAGGCAGAAAGTGTGTAGGGTGGAAAACTGTGGAATGTACTCGTAGGAGCTTTGATATCCTTTCCAGCTTGTACATTTCAAAGTTGTGTTCCCACAAGAAGCTCAGTTGTGCAGTTGGAGCTGTTTGCAGCAGTGGTTGGTGAGGAAGTGCAAAGAGATTTCCGAAATTGGTTCGATGCGATCCCGCAGACGTCAGATCCATTCATCCGAGAAGTTGGGGGCCGTAAACCGCTTACATTCAGCGAGCTTCACGCCTTCGCGCAGGACCTATCAATTTCGGCACCTCTTGCCATATCCACAATGGACGCACGCTGGACAGACAATGGTTACACAAGGGACATACAAGGGACACAGAAGCCACACGATGATTCTGGAAAAGAAAGCGGTTAAATAGTCCATTGCAGTCCCTTTCAGTGTCTTACGCGATTCAGAGTGAATTTACAGCGTGCAGATTGGTGTAGGACAAAGAAGTTTGGTTAAGCAGATTTGGCATCGGCTTGCAAGATCGCGTTTGCACGATGTTTCCCAATGGTCCTGAGGTGATCAGCTCAGTTCCCAGGTTACCAGATGTTACCATTGGTATCCATTGGTAGTTCCCAGGTAGTTAAAACGATGTTACACCATCTGTCAATCGTTGGACCTGTTTGGCCACCTGGTCTGTTTCCCCTCGCCCAGGCGGCTGTTTGCTTCCTGGTTTTCCCTCTTCGCTGCGTTTTCGCGCCGTTAAACCCTGCCTTCACAGTTCCAGAGATTGAATTCGAGTTCCAAGATTTGCCATGCCATACAGTGGTCGTGATGGATGGCGAAAATAACTCTGCCACCTTGCAGGTGGGAGAAGTCATTTTAAATATATCTGTGATATGATTGATATGTCCCATGTTTGTAACATGACTATTTTTTCCCGAGAGCGTCTGAGCGCAGGGTTCTTCCAATAGTGGGGGTCTGTATCTCATCTTCACATCTTCACATCTTCTCACTTCACATCTTCTCATCTTCACATCTTCTCATCCTCACATCTTCTCATCTTCACATCTGCTCATCTTCGCATCTGCTAATCTTCACATCTTCTCATCTTCACATCTTCTCATCTTCACATCTGCTCATCTTCACATCTTCACATCTTCACATCTGCTCATCTTCACATCTGCTCACCTTCACAACTTCACATCTGCTCATCTTCACATCTTCACATCTGCTCATCTTCACATCTGCTCATCTTCACATCTTCACATCTTCACATTTTCACATCTGCTCATCTTCACTGCTCATCTTCACATCTGCTCATCTTCACAACTTCTCATCTTCACATCTTCTCATCTTCACATCTTCTCATCTTCACATCTGCTCATCTTCACATCTGCTCATCTTCACAACTTCTCATCTTCACATCTTCTCATCTTCACATCTTCTCATCTTCACATCTTCTCATCTTCACATCTTCTCATCTTCACATCTTCTCATCTTCACATCTTCTCATCTTCACATCTGCTCATCTTCACATCTTCTCATCTTCACATCTTCACATCTGCTCATCTTCACATCTTCTGCTCATCTTCACATCTTCACATCTGCTCATCTTCATATCTTCTCATCTTCACATCTTCACATCCTCACATCTTCACATCTTCTCCTCTTGCCCTCTTGCCCTCTTGCCCTCTTGCCTTCTTGCCCTCTTGCCCTCTTGCCCTCTCCTTCTTTTCTATTTCTCTTCTGAAGGCGGGGGCAGGGGCAGTGCCAACGGGACGGCACGAAACGCAACCTTTTCGCACGAAACGAAGTTCGATCGACAAAAACTGAGGTAAAATTGCGATTTCAACTTGTCCGGTGCAACCCTTTCGCACGAAACGAGGTTCGATCGCCAAAAACTGAAGTAAAGTTGCGATTTCAACTTGTCCGGCGCAACCCTTTCGCACGAAACGAGGTTCGATCGCCAAAAACTGAGGTAAAATTGCGATTTCAACTTGTCCGGCGCAACCCTTTCGCACGAAATGAGATTCGATCGTCAAAAACTGAGGTAAAATTGCGATTTCAACTTGTCCGGCGCAACCCTTTCGCACGAAATGAGGTTCGATCGTCAAAAACTGAGGTAAAATTGCGATTTCAACTTGTCCGGCGCAACCCTTTCGCACGAAATGAGGTTCGATCGTCAAAAACTGAGGTAAAATTGCGATTTCAACTTGTCCGGCGCAACCCTTTCGCTCGAAATGAGGTTCGATCGTCAAAAACTGAGGTAAATTTGCGATTTGCAAGGTGTCCTGCAAACCCTTTCGCACGAAATGAGGTTCGATCGCCAAAAACTGTGTGTAAAACTGTGTGTAAAACTGTGTGTAAACGCGTCTGTGTGTAAACGCGTCTGTGTGTAAAAGCGTCTGTGTGTAAAAGCGTCTGTGTGTAAAAGCGTCTGTGTGTAAACGCGTGTGTGTGTGTAAAAGCGTCTGTGTGTAAAAGTGTTTGTGTGTAAAAGCGTCTGTGTGTAAAAGCGTCTGTGTGTGAAAGTGCCTGTATGTAAAAGCTTCTGTGTGTGAAAACTTTTGTGTGTAAAAGCGTCTGTGTGTAAAAGCTTCTGTGTGTAAAAGCTTCTGTGTGTAAAAGTGTTTGCGATGCAAGCTATTGTCTTGTACTTGTGCTATATTGTCTTGATACTCCTCTTCTCGACTGCCTATAACGCATCTTTAATATATTGTTTTGTAATATGGTGTCTCCATACTAACAAGAGAAGACCCTGCTCCTCTACACTCTCGGGCCATCCGTCGTCTAGTTATTATTGTGTTTCACACTTGTATGAAAAGCGCATCATCAAATATACACCCACGTTTAGATGTTCAGATTTTGGCTGAAGTTCATTCAGGTGGCATTGGAGCAAAAAGTGCAAGTACTGGAGATGCAGCGGCATGCCAAAGTTGCAGGGCTGTTCAGTCTTCGACTTCACGAGCAAAGTCCAATCAAGTTGGAGCAACAGATTTCCACCGAGCGGCAAAGTGGCAGAGATGATATTGCATTGGTCTTACACACCTCTGGCACCACCAAAAAGCCCAAGATCGCAGCTTTGCCTGTTTACATTTGTTTACTATCTATTTCATATCTTTTCCCTTCGTTCTTGCTTGTTCTGGGAGTTTTGCACGTCCTGACTTTAACGGCAAAGATTCTTTTCTTGTAAATCATCTGTGAGCTTCCAATGTTTTGTGTGAAATGAAGATTTTAACCTTGGAAATGGGCACTGTCCCACAAGGTCCCTCTGACGCATGAGAATCTCACCGTGGGTGCACTTTGCATCACATCGACGTTACGTCGTCAGAGAAGCGATGTGTGCCCCGGGCCAGAGTAAAAACTGTGCCATTTCAATCAGTTGATACCTTGATAATTTTTTCGAAGCATACCAGCCATTCCTGGAGCACACAGACTCTCATAGAATCTCCCTGTTGTGATGTTTACAGTGCTTTACTGAGATTGCACTGACAGCGTTTACTCTTGCAGGTGTTTGAATCTGATGCCTTTGTACCACATTCACGGCCTCTCCGTCAACGTCTTGGCAAGTGCCATGTCAGGCTCGTCTGTGGTTTGCACCCCAGGATACAAAGGCCCGGACAAGCCGACAGAGTGGTTGGCTTCTGGCATGGCCAGCTGGTATTCTGCTGTGCCTACGATGCATCAAGGCATTGTGGAGGCATGGCATGAGAGTGGCACGAGAATGTGAGACATCTTCTGAAACATTTTGAAACATCTTGGGACTTACTGGCGCGTGTGACGTGTCGACCTGTTTGAGTCTTGCAGCCCAAGCGTTATGCTTTACAGTGACATCCTTCCAGGCTGGCCTCTCCTCCAGCGATTTTAGTGCGGCCAGTGCTGGTGTCGGTCTCATCCGCAACTGTTCTGCAGCATTGGTTCCAGTCTTGGCTGACAAGATGGAGCAGCTCTTCCAGTGTGTGGTGATGCCAACTTATGCAATGTCAGAGAGCGGCTCGGATCGAAAGTGGGTCTTGTTAATTGTTGTTCGGTTTTGTTTAAGGCTTTCCCTTCAAAGTGGCGCTTACAAAAAGTAATGAGCCCATGAAGCCCATGATGCCTTTGATGCCCATGTGAGCTTTACCGAGGCATGCCCATTGCGTCCAATCCGTTGCCGCCACATTTGAGAGTATTACGCAGCGTGGGGCAAGCTGCCGGGCCCGAGATGGTTCTGCGTCATGAAGAGAGCAATTCAGAGCCCAAACGAGGCGAGTATCACACCAGCTTCTAGATGCGATATGCCAAGATGGGTCAAAGATGCGTCAAGACAAACATGTTGTGTTTCAAGAAATGTGTTTGCCCTGTTGGGCTTCAAGCTGTGGTTCAAAGCATTCAGACAACACGACATGATTTGTTGGATGTCAGTAACTCTTATCTTGTCGGATGTTATGCCAGGGGAAGAAGCAGAGATTTGCGTGAAAGGGGCGTGCGTTACGAAAGGTTATGAAACTTGGCTTGGACATCCTCTTGTCTTTCAAGCCGCATTGTTGCAAATAGCTAGTGTCACAGTTCAGTGGACAAAACGGATCATGGAAGCTTCAGAGAAGCTTGGTCAGGAAATGCGGGCCCACATGGACCAAGATCCGAATATAGAGGCTTTCACATCAGATGGATGGCTCAGAACTGGTGATAAAGGCTGCTTGGGCTGTAAGAGTGCTTGTGTAGCATGAGATTTACATGAGATTCAAGACAGGGTGTGCTTGGTCTTAAGTTTTCAGAGCAGGATGTTGATCCATGTGCTCATGACATCTCGTGGCAGCAGCCGGGACACAATTCCGTAGCCTCGGGATTCCAAGGCTCACAGACCTGCAATTCCTGCCTTTGTGAAGGGGCAATATTGATGCAATGTTTTGTAGTAAAGGCGTGAAATCAAAATGATCAAGAATAAGAAGCATTTGGTAATCGGATAAACTTTGTTTCTGAAATCAATAGGCAAGGCAGAAACATAGAAATGGATGTAAATGGCTGCCGGATGGCCTCTGCCAGATGGCCTCTGCCAGGTTACATAGATGAGAACAACTATTTGTGTCTGTCTGGCCGCTACAAAGAGATCATCAACCGTGGTGGTGAGAAGATCTCGCCCTTTGAGGCGACGAAGTGTGCAGGGTCCAATTTGGGCTGCGAGGGTCACTGGGAACTTTGCATACTATCCCATACTGTGCAGTATTTGTGGATAGAATATGATAGGTTCATGTAAATTCGGCAATGAACTCTGCAAGCACTTGATTTTGTGTGTGTGCTTCAACTTTCAGAAACCCGGATCTGAAAAACATTGATCTGAATTACTCTGAAGCTTGGTTCTTTGAATCCAAGAGTCGTGTGACATGTGATTCTTCTGACTAAATTGATTCAAAGATAACAGTTCATCAAAAAGAAATGTGGTGCGCGGCGAGGAGAATGTTGTCTTCATGGGGTGCTTGTCTGTTGTTGCAATTTGTTGCCAGTGCTTGCCCGCAGGTGGAGAATGTTTGTCGACAATGGTCACCTATGTTTGACTGCATTGCATTCAGCTGTCCTCATGCGCAATTGGGAGAGACTGTGGGATTGGCAGCTGTTCTTCGGGATGGTGAGACTTTCCTGCATCAGCGCTAAAACCGGTCACACGGATCCAATGTCCATGTTTCAGACACTTTCAGACCATGCTTGCATTTAGAGAACTGGGGAAGTCAAGGAGAAGATGGACAGCAGCAAATTGGAGGAGTTACGTCGTTTTGGTTCTTCAAAGATGAGTGAGAAGTGGCTGCCGCAGTGCATTCTGTACATGAAGGACTCTTGCAGCCCTCGTTTTGACATCCATTTCGACCAGAAAAGCTTTGCATCAGTAGATTCATGTCAATGCCGTTTTGTTTGTTTGTCGCAGGACATCCCCAAAGGCTCTACTGGCAAACCAGCTCGAATCGGCCTGGCCAAGCGAATGAAACTTGAGACTCTGGACATTCACAAAACCCAGGCCTGCGCCTGCAATGCATGTGTTGCGCATTGAGATGCATGGAGTCTTCAATGTGTGCAGTCAGAGTTCCACTTGGTCACATTTCATCATTGATGCATCATCATTCGTCATGACATGTCTTGACACTTTTGGTATTTGAGGTCACCAGTTGGGATGCCACATCGGGCCTTCCAGTCCCTATTGATGCTTCCGCAGCAGCCGTGAAAACTGTTCCTTGGCTTTGAAACGGATCTCACTTGAAAGGCCACAAAGGCCACAAAGGCCACATTGCATTCAAGGCATGGAGTGCATGGAGTGCAGTTTTAGGTCGTTGATTCTTTGGGGAAAGTCAGAGATGCAAATGACGGCAAGATCCAGGACGGGCCTTGTGAGTTGAAGCCTCAAACCTTGTGCCCAGCAACTCCACTTGATTGCACTCTATATATTTGAAAATATATTTGAATATGATCTTGATTGATCTTGTAATTCTGCATGTCATCTCTGAAAGGAAATGGCTTTGATGGAGACGATGTATGGTTTCTCCATTATGTTCGTCACATTGGCACACGTTTTCCTTGAGACTTACGAATACACGCTGCTCGTTCGCACTGGACATTGCACTCAAGGACTGCTTCAAAGCTGGCGATGCTGGAAAATTGAAGAAGAATTGAAGTAAGTCATTCTTGCGTTTCAATCCAAAGCTGCACACATCTAACAATTTTTCCCTCTGACCTCAAACTTTAAACTCTACGGCGGCCGGAGCCAGGCATGGGAGGAGTGATTACACTGCTCCGTTCCGACCGGAGCAAGACACGTGGCAGCTAGGCTATCTTCTGGCAATGAATATGAAACCAGTTGCTTGGCGCAATGCACAGTCAGAAGGACTAAAGTGCCAAATTTTGTGTGCAGCTGCTGAGACAAACATAAAAATCTGCCAGCGCCAAAGATGCCAATCCTTTTGTGTCGATACGTGTTGACTGTAAGCGCTAAGCGCCTGAAGGTATGTGTGCTTTGGCTAGGGCCACTCCCTTTATTCCTTTTTCAAAAGGTCCCACTGGCCCAACACAAGCCGAACCCTAGCCAAAAATAGCTAAGGCAAATTGATGTAACAGATGCTCAACATATGCCTTTCTATGCCCCTTCAAAGTAGAGATACGCTCATTTGTCCCGAATGCGTAGCAAGGGTTCCCGTTTCGCTCTGGGGGTCTGGGGGTTGAAGCTGTGTTCGCCAGACGTTGCGCAACCGTTCGCAACCGTTCGCGTGAGGCCCGCATGGCTGCGCCTATGGCGAGTTTTGCAAGATTAGTCACTTTTGGAGGTTTCAGACGTCGCGTGGCCTTGTTTCGCATGGCAGGCGTGGCACTTTGTGACATTCCAACATGTTTCATAACGTGTCAAAAGTCGTTTTGTGTGGCAGGCTCCCCGCTCAACACTCCACTTCCTTCACACCCCACACTTTCCACTCCACCCTCTTCCGGATTCCACAGTCTACAATGCACTGGTACGGCAACAGGGGAAAAATGTACAAGACTGTTCAAATCACTTGTTTCACAGAAGTGTTTCACGTGACTGCATTCGGGTTCGTGGGCTGCATTTTGTTTTAATATAAGTACATCCGCAATAGAGGCATCCGAAAAACAAACGTGTTCGGGAAACTTCGCGCAGTAGAAATCCCCGCACCAACCCTTTGTGAAACCTGGGAAGGCATAGAAAAGACATTGCATCCTTTGAAACCGCTGAGCCCACATTATTACATTAGGCCAATTAGTGTCGATTTTAGATTTAATACCAGTAGTGCCGCACAAGGCGGTGGCGGAAGTTTCAAAAATAGGAAACCTATAGGAGAGATTGGTTGTTGTGACTCCGTGATGGCAGAGCGAATCCACTGATGGACCGAAAGGTGCTTGAGGTCTCCTCTCTTTCTCTCTCTTTCTCTGACTATCTACCTACCTACCTACCTATCTTCTATGTATCTATCTATCTATCGATCGATCGATCGATCTTTCTATCTATCTATCTATCTATCTATCGATCGATCGATCTTTCTATCTATCTATCTATCTATCTATCTATCTACCTCTCTCTCTCTTTCATCTAATTACCTATCTATCTATCTATCTATCTGTCTATCTATCTATCTATCGATCTATCTATCTATCTCTCTCTCTCTCTTTTTCATCTGTCTGTCTGTCTGTCTAGCTGTCTACCTGTCTATCTGTCTATCCATCTATCTATCTATCTATCTGTCTATCTGTCTACCTGTCTATCTGTGGTGCAGTGTCATTCAGTGTGATGTAGTGTAGTGTAATGTAGTATAGTGTAGTGGAGTGTAGTGGAATGTAGTGTAGTGTAGTGTACTTTAGTGTAGTGGAGTGTAGTTGTGTAGTTGTAGTTGTAGTGTAGTGGAGTGTAGTGTAATGTCTTTTCATCTATCATCTCCCCAGATGTCTCCGCACCCACCGCTTTAGCGAGCCTACTTTTCAACCCTCCGGAGCCACAAAACCACGGAAAAACACACTGTCTTGCGACTTTCCTACCTTTTCGCGCACCTGCATCTTCTTTCTTCTGATCTTTTCTCTTCTGACTCTTCTCCCTGCTGACTGCTTCTTCATCTCTCCATATTGTCGGAAGTTTGACTTCTAAACTTCCTTCGATAAACTTAATTTGTCCCAGCTTTGCTATGTTTATAAAGCGTAATTTTAGTCTGCGTTGAATTTGCGCTGCGGCATTGAAGCCATGTTGGGCCCAAAGGTATGTTAGGGAGCAGAAAAAAGTCTTAGTCATTCTTGGACAAGTTTGGAGCTACTCTACGCCGTTGTGTTGCATCATGTAGTATTGGGTTGCACGCAGCCTCTGTTTCCCGAACCACCCTTCTCCGCCGGATGCAAATAGTGCAGTGCGGATGGTTTGGGCCGCGTAGCAACCGAACAATACAGCTGTCGCAACGACCCTGCACCAAAAACAACGTGTCTTAAAAAGTATTGGTATTGACAAAGCAACAAGAAGGAAATAGGCAAAGAAACATCGTAAACAATGATCCATGATGAACATATATATATATATATATGAACATACTTTGTGGACTTCCCTGTCTGAGGTCACGCTGTTCCTAGTTTGCTATGGCTACATGGAATCCCAGCACCGAGCATTTCTTTTTGGCGGCTTCGAGCGCGAAATTGTTCTCTTGTTTCTGACTGTCTTCCATCAGCTGTTACAGTCATTGTTCATCGTGGCCTGGGAAACATTGACAGATCGCCGTGCTCCTGGTGGCTACTCTGGACTCAATAAAACGGATATTGCAGATTCACTGCGCATAGCTGCGATGACACAAGACCTGGATTGGTTTATTCGTTTTATTTTGTTTGGTCGAATCGTGATGGTCGTGAATCACAAGCTGGGCATTCCTAGCTTTGTCCAGATGGCTGCTTGCCTTGCTATGGCATGGTATCTTCCACTGCCAAGTCGAGAAGGTCGCCTCGTTCCGGGTGCAGTTTCAATTGGATACATGCTGATGTTGATCGGCGCATATGTGGCACCTGACTCTTGGCAAGATCGACAAGATAGCTTTCACTTTCGTCCGAGCTTTGTTATATCATTTTTTCGGTTTTGTATTGTGAAAAAGTTGTTTGTTTTCAGTTGGTTTGTAAAAAGGAACAGACGCTTCACCGTTTTCCTGCAGGCAGTGGTGCGTATGTTCGGCGCTCACTGGAATGGAGCCTCACAATGCGGACGCAGTCTTATGCGTTTAGTTGCATTGGCCTACATGATTGCCAGCATACGACCGCCGTTGGGATTTGGCACCTGGTTTGATTTTGGTGTAATTTTTTGATATCCGTCAGATTCTGCGGGCCAACTGGCCAGCAGAGCATATGGACTTGGAGATCCTGGGGCCTGGGGCACATCGTGGCTAGAAATTAAAGCACGACAAACGCGCCAAGGATTCAGCGATGCGACCCGAACCACATGCTTTGAGTCCACCCTTGGTGCAGCCTGTGTGCCTTTGACAGTCATACAGCAAGCAGTGTGGGTTGGTGCGGCAGCAATCCTGTTTGCACCCAAGGCGGGTTTCGGGGATTCTGTAAAGTTTGTGACTGTGTGTCTGTCTGCATGTGTGCGCAGGACCTTTTTTATTAATTGTTTTTTCTTCTCTTGCCAATTCGACTTCTTTGCTTTGCGCGTTGTATGCATTATGTTTGTGGCTGTCTATGCGTTTCTGCAAGTGGTGGTTGTGGTAAAGAGTTCTAATGTGCAAAAGGTTCCAAAAGAAACTTCGTCTGCTTCCTAAGCATTGCGCTGGAAGGTGAGTTTGTTCGAGATATTGGGTCGGTATACCTTGGGAGCTTACCTTTTCAACCGCGTCACTTTTGCCTTCCTACGCGATCATGGCCACTTGGAATGCAGCATGTTGCAGCTTCAATTTGTTTCATGCAAAAGCAAAGCAGCAACAGCGATATCCACTCCCTTCAAGCAGAGTAGCATAGAGTCATAGAGACTTGAAGCAGTTCCAACAGAACAGTGCCGAGTGCGATTGCTGGACGCAGGAATCCGGCTCTTCGGAGTGAGGGTGTTTCCAAGTTTGACTTCCTTATCGCAAGCGTTCACTGGGCAAGAAGGTCCGTCATGGTGAATGCTTTGAAGAGACTTATGGAATCAGATCTTCAAAATTCTCTGTTCGTAAGGGATTTCACGCACGAAAATTGGTTGGGAACGAGAGAGACGAGAGGTTGAAATGCAATGATATGCAATGTATTGCAACGGCATTCATGCAATCATGATTCGAAGAACATCTGTGCATTTGAGATTCGCTTCATTTTTCTAGGTGAAATGGGCCTCACCGTGGGCTACTTGCTGTTCCTCTTGCTGATCATGTACATGACAAATTTGTGCACCGGATACTTTGTTCACTCTGTAGCAGGAGGACTTCTTACAAATTCCATATCTCTTTTGAAAAGAGCCATATCTCCTTTGAAAGGAAAGGTCTGATGCTCGGAAAGAATGGTATGCCAAGATTACAATGACAGAAGAGTGGAAAAAGCAGAGCAAATTACAGTTATGTTTCTGTTGGAGCTGGGGGATGAATTGTCTGGTCACAGGCCAACGGCTGTACTCCCGAACCCAGGTTGTATCCCCCATCAAGTATCCTTGGCAGGTGTCTGTTTTCATTTTTCTGCTGCTTCAAGGCAAAAAGACGCATTAAAAGATTTAAAAGTAAAAAACTACTTGCAGTTTAAAATGATTGCGCTTGTATCAATCCCAACAGCCAACTTGGTTCGAACATCGCCACTTCAGGATATTCAGCTTAGCCCTTTTGGCTTGTGTTCCCACTTATATTTACGAAACGAACCATGTTTGATTAGTGTCATTCATGCTGCAGCGGGCTTTCCACACTTTGAAACATATTCCCATGTTGAGGACTTAGTTGCCAGACAAAGTTAGGAATAGTGGGGCTTTCTTTTAACGCGTCAATTCCAGCGACGAATCTGTTTTAATTAACCACATGAACCCACATGGTCAAAACCTTAATCACTCATCATGACGCTGGTCGCGAATGACTACGGCCTACATGCATCCTGGACACAAAGCCAACTGGAAACATGGCTTGTAATTCCCCCTATAAATTAGCGGCATGATTTACATTGTATGCTGCGCCTCATCATGATGCGGGTCGCGAGTGGTTGCGGCCCACATGAGCGCTGGGTGCATGGCCGGCAGGAAGCGTGGATGCTTCTTGGCTGATGATTTGCTCATTTGCGGTAGCAGTAGCAGTAGCAGTAGCAGTAGGAGTAGGAGTAGGAGTAGGAGTAGGAGTAGTAGTAGTAGTAGTAGTGGTAGTAGTAGTAGTAGTCGTGGTAGTAGTAGTAGTAGTAGTCGTCGTCGTAGTAGTAGTCGTCGTCGTCGCAGTAGTAGTAGTAGTCGTGGTAGTAGTAGTAGTAGTAGTCATCGTCGTCGTCGTCGTCGTGGTGGTGGTAGGAGTAGTAGGAGTAGTAGGAGTAGTAGGAGTAGTAGGAGTAGTAGGAGTAGTAGGAGTAGTAGGAGTAGTAGGAGTAGTAGGAGTAGTAGGAGTAGTAGGAGTAGTAGGCGTAGTAGGCGTAGTAGGCGTAGTAGGCGTAGTAGGCGTAGTAGGCGTAGTAGGCGTAGTAGGCGTAGTAGGCGTAGTAGGAGTAGGAGTAGGAGTAGTAGTAGTAGTAGCAGTAGTAGTAGTAGTAGCAGTATTAGTAGCAGCAGCAGCAGTAGTAGTAGTAGCAGTAGTAGTAGTAGTAGCAATATTGGTGGTGGTAGTAGTAGTAGTCATAGGAAGTTGGGAAGCAATACTTCCGTGTTACGGACAAATAGAATTGTGAGGCTTGACCTTGATGAAGGGGGTGTGAGTGGCTACATCACATAACAATACATCACAAAAAAAATGACCTTGATGAAGGGCGGTGTGAGACTTTACAACACACAACAATACATCACAAGAGAATTGACCTTGATGAAGGACGGTGTGAGACTTTACACTACATAACAATACATCACAAAAGAACTGACCTTGATGAAGGGCGGTGTGTGACTTTACGCTACATAACAATATACCAGTAGTACCGCACAAGGCGGTGGCGGAAGTTTCAGGAATAGCAAACTATAGGAGCAGTGAGTTGGTGTGACGCAAGAACGGCAGAGCGAATCTGTTGATGGATTGAAAGGTGGTTGGAGGCAGTGCAGTGTAGTGTAGCGTAATGTAGTGTAGTGTAGTTGTAGTCTAGTGTAGTTGTTGTTGTGGTACAGTGTAGTTGTAGCTGTAGCTGTAGTGTAGTTGTAGTGTAGGTGCAACTGTCGTTGTAGGTGTAGTGTATGATGTCATGTAATGTAATGTAATGTAATGCCATGTAATGTAATGTAGTGTAGTGTAGTGTAATGTAGTGTAGTGTGGGGTAGTGTAGTGTAGCGTAGTGTAGTGTAGTGTGGTGTGGTGCAGTGCAGAGTAGTGTCCTGTAGTGTATTGTAATGTAGTGTAGTGTGGTGTAGTGTAACGTAGTGAAGTGTAGTTGTAGTTGTAGTTGTAACTGTAATGTAGTTGTAGTTGTAACTGTAATGTAGTTGTAGTGTAGTTGTGGTGTAGTTGTAGTGCAGTTGTAGTTGTAGTGCAGTTGTAGTTGTAGCTGTGGTGTAGTTGTAGTTGTAGTTGTAGCTGTGGTGTAGTTGTAGTTGTAACCGTAATGTAGTTGTAGTGTAGTTGTAGTTGTAGTGTAGTGTAGTAAAGTTGTAGTGTAGTTGTAGTTGAAGTTGTAGTGTAGTGTAGTGCAGTGTAGTGAAGTGTAGTTGTAGTGTACTGGAATGTCCGCCACAACGAAGCAATCCTGCGAGACTTTCTCAATTTTTGACGTTGGCAACATCAAAAACGAAGCAATTCTGCGAGACTTCCTCAATGTTTGAAGTTGGCAACATCAAAAACGAAGCAATTCTGCGAGACTTCCTTCATTTTTGAAGTTGGCACCATCAAAAACGAAGCAATTCTGCGAGACTTCCTTCATTTTTGAAGTTAGCAACATCAAAGACGAAGCAATTCTGCGAGACTTTCTCATTTTTTGATGTGGACAACATCAAAAACGAAGCAATTCTGCGAGACGTCCTTCAAAAATGGAAAGTTGACTGTAGAGGTGACGGCCTCGTACCAATGCGTTTTGCGATTTTTCCATGCCATGTCTCTAAAGTACTGCGCCTGCCACGAAAAAGTGAGTCCAGGTCATACGAAGTGCTGCACCTGTCACGAAAAAACATCTTAGCAATCTTAATGATCTGATACGCGAAAATGCAACTCCTCTCAGGAAATCAGCTCCTTGACCTCCTAACATCTCTACTCAAGATGCTTCTTGTACTGTGCCTGCCACGAAAAATGCATGTGTGCAGATCCTCTTCAAATGTCCCACACCTGCCATCGTTTTTGAAAATGCTACAAAACCCTCACGTTTGAGTCACTTTTGACAAGATGCACAATCCACTGCGCCTGCCACCCAAAACGACGTCTGAACGTCCAAAATGTCGCCGAGACCCTCAGTTTTTAACACTTTTCACTTCGAAATGTGCTTCGCGCCACAGCGCCGTGCACTTTTTCGACATCTCAACTTCCAAAAGTGCTCCGAAGCCCTCAGTTTTTAACACTTTTTACTTCCAAATGTGCTTCGCGCCACAACGCCGTGCACTTTTTCAACATCTCAACTTCCAAATCGGAGCGTGACAGTTTTTAACACTTTTTACTTCCAAACGTGCTTCGCGCCACAGCGCCATGCACTTTTTCGACAGCTCACCTTCCAAAAGTGCTCCGAGAATGCGGTGTTTAGTACATTTTTACTTGGAAATGTGCTTCGCGCCACAACGCCGTGCACTTTTTCAACATCTCAACTTCCAAAAGTGCTCCGAGGCTGAGGTGTTTTGCACTTTTTCACTTCAAAATCTGCTTCGCGTCACAACGGCGTGCAAATTTTCATCTCTCATCTCCCCAGATGTCTCCGCACCCGCCGCTTTAGCGAGCCTACTTTTCGACCCTCCGGAGCCACAAAACCACGAAAAAACACAGTGTTTCGCGACTTTCCTACCTTTTCGCGCACCTGCATCTTCTTTCTTCTGATCTTTTCTCTTCTGACTCTTCTCCCTGCTGACTGCTTTTTCATCTCTCCATATTGTCGGAAGGTTGACTTCTAAACTTCCTTCGAATATGCATAGATGAAAGTCAACAGACAAATCTGGACGTTCCACAGAAGCAGCGCCTGCGAGGAAATTACCCGCCACTGGATACAATCCTACTGGTCCTACCGGCCAGTGGTACATGGACAGGGCAACAGCTTGCTGCAAGGAGCCTCAGTCCTAAATTCTCCATATCGAATGGATCAAGCGCAGTCCGTAGGTCTCATCTTCCACCGAGAAAAGACCTTGGACCAGTCGTGAATGTCAACCACAAATTGATCTGTGTTATCTAAAACATGTTTTTCTTTTTACTGAAGTTGTGTCACAAGATGAGGTGGTGGCGCTACACATTTCGCTGCATTCGTGCAACGAAGGCAAATGTACGAGCACCTGCTAAGGCACCTTCGCCTTCGAGAAAACGGTGAGGAAGTGAAGGAAATGAAGGGATTGAATCTGAAGGAAGTGAAGAAAGTGAAGGAAGTGAAAGTAGGTTTGCTGCTTAAGTGGTGAGGAAGGCAAGTAGACTGACTTCATGGGGTGGTTTGCTGTAAGATGCTGTAAGCATAAGCAGACAGTGCCAGCATAAGTGCTTGACAGCGCTTGTCAACTTGGTGACACAGCGTGAGCCAGGCAAGTCGTTTCATTCTGCTGCTCACGGAAGAGAACCTCTCTCGACTTCGGCTACAGGCTTTCCGCGTGTCCATGTGTCCTTTTCTTTCGGCACTTGGTGAAGACGAATGTGTTTGAACGAGCTGACACAGTTGCCAACGTCACTTATCAAAATGAGAGACCCTAGCTGCACTCCCTGCTAAGCCGTTTGAAACTATGTTGGATATTGGCAATTATTTGCACATCTTGAATCATCTTGGCCCATGGCAAACATGGGGGGTAGACACGTGGCCCATTGTCGCAGGCGGAATACTGCACTCTGGTGGTGAAGAGTCGTTCTGTCCAGCTGCAAGAGCACGAGCAGGTCAGCTCTCGGATGCTCTGGGTGGAGAACTTCAGAGAACGACACCCCGATTACATTCCCGATACTCCCGATATCTCGTATCACTATGTACCACTCTGTATCACTCGTTTCTCTCCCGATGGCTTGTTTGGAAATTCGTGTTATGATGCTATGTACAGATGTGCAGATGTACAAAAATTCTGTACAAAAAATCGTTCTTCTGATGCTTCGTGCCAGGCTGCTGCGACTCCGCGCCACCTGCGACGGACCTGCGCTGCCACGCCGCACGGGAGCGACTCCAGGAGAAAAGGGCGGGCGCACTGGGCGAAACGCGCCGTAGATTCCGTAGATTGCCATCCCTTCATATCCCTTCCATCCCTCTCCAGTTCTGAAAGATTCTGAAAGGCTACAGTTTTGAAACAGTTTTGAAACATGCAAGTGAATGAAACAACCATCCAAATACTTCAACATATGTTACTTCAACTATGAACTCGTCTCCAGTCTTCATATGTTTTCTCCAAGTCCTCTGCGAGGCACAGGGTGAAGCCAGCGCAGACCCTGGCCGCTGGAGCTTCTGGGGACGGACTAAGGCACATATTTCTGGTGAGTTTCAAAAAAAATCCAATTAATTTCCATGATGCTATTCTGTGCTATGTGCTTTTTGTGCAAGGTCTTCCTAGCTCAACATATCTCAATATATCTCAACAATGTTACCATATGTGACCTTTAAGGTTTGCCTGGGACTGAAGGTTGAATCAAATTCGACGGGGGTGTGGTAGGTTCTCTCTGTGCCATCTTCGCCTTCACTGGCGGCAAGCACCTCAGCGTCTCGAGAACCAACTCCGACAGATGACTCAGCATGACAGAAAACATGTCGGAGACAAAGGATGCGTCATGCTTCGCCTTTCCTTCGTCTTACACCACGACACTACGACACTCTGAATCGTGAGTCGCCCGAATCACCAATCTCTTGGGAGGCACTGGAAACTCCTGCGGTGGAGGCTTTGCTACCTGCATCGTGTCAAATCTCATTTCCATCTGCGGAATCTGCCAGGATGAAATGTTGGAGGGTCAAAGTGGGCAAAGAGCTCAGTTCCTGAAGCCCCTCATACTCCATGACTCCATGGACCATGTCAATCCATGTCAGTCCATGTCAGTCCATGTCAGTCCATTGACTCAATGCATGTTTGTCCGTGTCAGTATTCAAAGGGTCTCGAAATTACCAAGTTCAGGACATATGAAGCAGTGCAAAGAGAGGATGTAGAGAGAGAGGACAAAGCTTGCATGAAACTAAAGCAAAGCAACACATGTAATTACTAAGATTCAAGGGATGAATCAATCATTGCAGAGTTGACTTGACTTCGTATTTTCTTGCAATAGGAAGTGGCGAAAAGAACGTAGAAGAACAGTGATTCATACAAGAGTTGTACACTTTTGAATTTTTGAGGATTCGCAGGGGGTTTGCGGCAGTCTATGGTCGTTTGATTTGGCCTTGCAGGACTTGGCTTTTAAGTACAGACCTTCGGTGGGGAGTTGGCTTATGCCAAGGCAGGCGATATCAGGCGATGCAGCATGTGGTGACAGACAGGTTGCTGTGACAGGCCTTGCCGAATCCCATGGCCGGATGCTTAAGGCCAGCCATGGCCACATGTAAATCAAGGCCTGGAATCAAGATCCCAGAATCAAGATGAATCGAGTGAATGGATTTCTAAGCCAAGATGAACCACAGAGAGGGGGGGCACGGAATTGCACAGAGGCACAGAGCATTGAATCTAAGAAAGTTGGGCTGACACCTTGTTGTAGGTTCATGCACACACAGAAAAGCACACTTGCATTGTCTTGCCACAACGTTTTCCGTCCTCTTTCGTTCTCTGTCGCTATTGGAAGGCTTCGAAGAAGAGCCGGACATGCCAGTGGAAGTTGCGGTTCCAGCTTCAGCACGCTGCCTTTAGCTGCCTGTGCAACATATATGCGAGACATATAGTCTGTTTTGAACATCTCATGGTGATCTCCAACAGTTCAGAGTTGTAGTTGTGTTTCTGTCCATGGCTTTCCACTCAGTGTCCCGAAGGCACACAAGCCAATGAGGTGGACGAGGTGGATGAAGTGGCAGAGATGGAAGGCTCGAGGAACATGCCATTCCAATCCATTCCAATCCATTCCAACTGCGAACTTCGCACAGCATTTGCCGGGTTTGTGTCAAGTTCAGTTCCCCCGCGGTTTCGGACGCGGGCTTGGAGACAGAATCAAGTCTGAAGAAATCTCGGATTCAAGTGGCCCCAAGGTGAGAGCTCGGCTCCCCACTTTGTGAAGCCAAGGTGGAGCGGAGACATCGCATTTTGACATTTGTATCGCATTTGATGCAAAGGTTGCGGCACTTGTGGCTTCACTGAGACATCGGGAACATGAAAGAAACATAATAAAGAAACATAATAAAGAAACATATAAGACAATATAAAAGGAATCAGATCACTTGCTGTCAGGACACTGAAGCCTTTCCACAGGCTGCACTTGAACACGCACTTGAATCTACAGAATCTACACTTGAATGATTTGGTCATCTCCGGTCAATGATTCTGAATGTTCGTTGTGCAAAGAGTTTCTCTTGTGGATTCACACCTCTGCAGGATGACTTTCGTTTCATGCCATCTGTGGGAACTTGGCGTCAGCCCAGGCGGGGTGTGAAAAACAGCGAGACTAGAGCCGGCGTTATCTCCCGATGAAACAAATCCGAGAGAAGGGACCGAAGATTGAATTAGATGATATTAGATGAACAAAAATCCAAAATCAGCATGTGACACGACAAGAGCAATGCAGCGATGCACGACAGCAGTCCTCTTTGGAGCATGAGTTGGCAAGCCAACTACATCTCGAATCCTGAATTCAGTGCCTTCCCACTGTGTGTCCAAAAACAACGCAAAGAATATCAGCGGTCTTGAGATTTTCGGAAGCAATTGGAAAGCAACTGGAAAGCAGGAAGGTTCCGTCATGTTCCGTCAGTCTGGTTTTGCTGTCAACAGCTTTATCTGCAAGATACGAAGAGTACCCTCCTCCAGAGATGCCATGCCAGCTTGGAGGTCCAAGGTTCCTAATGCCACCCAGGGTAGCCTTGGCAGCTTGGTGTCTTTGAAAGCTTGGCAGGACTATCAGTTCTGCAATGTTCACAAGACAGGTTTCTTCTGCGATGGCACCACTCGCATTCGCTGCTGCAAGTTGGAGGATGGCTATGCCAAATGCGGTTCAACTGCAAACTCAGGCACTTGTGGAGCCGAGAAGCCTGACTTGTCCAAGCTGAAAAGCCTTGGGTTCTATAAAACAAGACAGGCAAGCAGCTTTTGCCAGAAACAGCCCCACGTCGGCACCTATTGCTACAAGAACCGCTACGTCTACTGCTGCAAGTATGGAGCGGGAGTTGTAGAATGCCAACCTCAACACCAGAGCGGCCGCTGGTGCATGGATGTGTTCGTCTAATTCATTCTAGGTCTGAAATTGTAAAGTTGCACACGGCTTGGTCGGTCGCGCCATTTGGGCGCCATTTGTACGACCTTTCAGCTGCACAGAGCTTGAAAAAAGCAAGCAGCTGAATTGTAAGCTTTCTCGCAGTTTGTCCACCAACCTGCTGACTGCATTGCTGACCCTGCATTGCAGCTGCACAGAGCTTGTTGGTTGGGGTTACTGCGGAAAAAACACCTCCAAACCCGGAAGAGCAGTGGAAAATCGACGCTTCGTATTTTGTGTAGTTGCTTTATTGAAGTCAGACCAAAATCAAAGGTGGGATGACCATCCTCATGATCGTGTCTTGAAGATACACATGCATTCCTAGGTGCTCCAATCACAAGGACAGGCTATTTTCCCGCCTTTTTTTTGTGGTTGGTTGTGACACTTCTGGAAAATGCCCTGCTGTTTGGATGGCCATGTTGAATCAGTGTTATTGACTCCTCAAACGAGCTGTGAGTGAGCTGCTTTGCTTGAAGATGGTTTGAAGACAGCTTGGGGATGGAAGATAAGACGATGATCCATCATTGATGCTGGTAATGATGTGTTTCTGCGTTTCTGCTTGAGTTGTTTCAGTTTCCAGTTCGTTCAGCCATTCGTCCCAGTGTGACGTCATGTCTTGCCGAACGTGCTTGGTACTGGTGGCTTTGGCCTTGACGGCCTTGACCAGTGCAGAGGACGCAACTGGTCATTCCCCTGAGCTGACTGAGTTGCCAGATGAGAGGGGCTTGCCAGACACTCCAGGGCCATACAAAGAAGCGCCAAGTGACGCTGATGCCGAAAAGCCTGCGCATGCCATGCCAGGTTGGAGGTCCAAGGTTCCTAATGCCACCCAGGGTAGCCTTGGCAGCTTGGTTTCTTTGAAAGCTTGGCAGGACTATCAGTTCTACAATGTTCACAAGACAGGTTTCTTCTGCGATGGCACCACTCGCATTCGCTGCCGCAAGTTGGAGGATGGCTATGCCAAATGCGGTTCAACTGCAAACTCAGGCACTTGTGGAGCCGAGAAGCCTGACTTGTCCAAGCTGAAAAGCCTTGGGTTCTATAAAACAAGACAGGCAAGCAGCTTTTGCCAGAAACAGCCCCACGTCGGCACCTATTGCTACAAGAACCGCTACGTCTACTGCTGCAAGTATGGAGCGGGAGTTGTAGAATGCCAACCTCAACACCAGAGCGGCCGCTGGTGCATGGATGTGTTCTCTAATTCATTCTAGGTCTGAAATTGTAAAGTTGCACACGGCTTGGTCGGTCGCGCCATTTGGGCGCCATTTGTACGACCTTTCAGCTGCACAGAGCTTGAAAAAAGCAAGCAGCTGAATTGTAAGCTTTCTCGCAGTTTGTCCACCAACCTGCTGACTGCATTGCTGACCCTGCATTGCAGCTGCACAGAGCTTGTTGGTTGGGGTTACTGCGGAAAACCAAGACGCTGGTGCATGGATGTGTTTCTCTAATTCGTTCTAGGTTTGAAATTGTACAGTTGCACACGGCTTGGTCGGTCGCGCCATTTGGGCGCCATTTGTACGACCTTTCAGCTGCACAGAGCTTGAAAAAAGCAAGCAGCTGAATTGTAAGCTTTCTCGCAGTTTGTGCACCAACCTGGTGACTGCATTGCTGACCCTGCATTGCAGCTGCACAGAGCTTGTTGGTTGGGGTTACTGCGGAAAACCACCTCCAAACCCGGAAGAGCAGTGGAAAATTGACGCTCCGTATTTTGTGTCGTTGCTTTATTGAAGCCAGACCAAAATCAAAGGTAGGATGCCCATCCTCATGACCGTGTCTTGAAGATACACATGCATTCCTAGGTGCTCCAATCACAAGGACAGGCTGTTTTTCCACCTTTTTCCCAAAAGCATCTCCGATGCTTGGGTTCTCGTCTAGTTTGCCTTGCCACGGGGGGAGCGATACGGAGTGTTGGACGGAGATAGGAAGGAAGGAAAGAAGGAAGGGAGGGAGGAAGGAAGGAAGCGAGGAAGGAAAGAAGGGAGGAAGGAAGGGGAGGTGCAAATAGCTTGCGGAGAGCTTCGCTGGGAGGGAACGAGACAGCATGCTGGACGGACAGGAAACCGTGGAAATAGCTTGCGGAGAGCTTTGGTGGGAGGGAGCGAGACAGCATGCTGGACGGACAGGAAACCGTGCAAATAGCTCGCGGAGAGCTTTGCTGGGAGGGAACGAGACAGCATGCTGAACGGATAGGAAACCGTGCAAATAGCTGGCTGGGCAGAGAGCTTCGCTGGGAGGGAGCGAGACAGCATGCTGGACGGATACAAAACCGTGGAAATAACTTGCAGAGAGCTTTGCTGGGAAGGAGCGAGAGGGCGTGCTGGACGGACAGGAAACCGTGCAAATAGCTTTCGGAGAGCTTCGCTGGGAGGGAGCGAGACAGCATGCTGTACGGATAGGAAACCGTGCAAATAGCTCGCGGAGAGCTTCGCTGGGAGGGAGCGAGATAGCATGCTGAACGGGTAGGAAACCGTGGAAATAGCTCGTGGAGAGCTTTGCTGTGAGGGAGCGAGACAGCATGCTGGACGGATAGGAAACCGTGCAAATAGCTGGGCAGAGAGCTTCGCTGGGAGGGAGCGAGACAGCATGCTGGACGGATACGAAACCGTGGAAATAGCTTGCAGAGAGCTTTGCTGGGAAGGAGCGAGACGGCGTGCTGGATGGACAGGAAACCGTGCAAATAGCTTTCGGAGAGCTTCGCTGGGAGGGAGCGAGACAGCATGCTGTACGGATAGGAAACCGTGCAAATAGCTCGCGGAGAGCTTCGCTGGGAAGGAGCGAGATAGCATGCTGGACGGATAGGAAACCGTGGAAATAGCTTGCGGAGAGCTTTGGTGGGAAGGAGCGAGATAGCATGCTGGACGCACAGGGAACCGTGCAAATAGCTCGCGGAAAGCTTTGCTGGGAGGGAGCGAGACAGCATGCTGGACGGATGGGACACCGTGCAAATAGCTTGCGGAGAGCTCCGCTGGGAAGGAGCGAGACAGCATGCTGGACGGATAGGAAACCGCGCGCATAGCTCGCGGAGAGCTTTGCTGGGAAGAAGCGAGACAGCATGCTGGACGGATAGGAAACGGCGCAAATAGCTTGCGGAGAGCTCTGCTGGGAGGGAGCGCGACAGCATGCTGCACGGATAGGAAACCGTGCAAATAGCTCGCAGAGAGCTTCGCTGGGAAGGAGCGAGATAGCATGCTGGACGGACAGGGAACCGTGCAAATAGCTTGCGGAAAGCTTTGCTGGGAGGGAGCGAGACAGCATGCTGGACGGATGGGACACCGTGCAAATAGCTTGCGGAGAGCTCCGCTGGGAAGGAGCGAGACCACTTTTTCCTTTTTTGGCACAATGTAAACTGGTTGATTTTCATTTCCCCGTCCGTTTTTTCCAACCTCGATCATGTTTGGTTCAGCAACTGCTTGGCGAGCTTGGATAAAATTCCTCTGGTTCTTTCCGCAGAGAGTGGAAAGTTGTCCTCCTCCTCCTGGAGTTCCCTCCTCATTGGAGCATGTTCGGGTTTTTTTCCCATCAATACCTCGAGAAGAACACCGTGGGAAGTTTCTTCGCTGGTTGAGGCGTAGTCTTGTGGGAATCTCGATCCAGCCTGCGAAGCCGTCTTGACCCAAACGGATTTTGGGTCGTGGCCGAACTTTCGTCGTCAGGAGGCTGGGGCGGATGCAGCTATTCATCTTCTTCCTGCAATTCATCCTAGTAGAAAAAGTATGCAGTTTTTCCTGCAGTTCATCACTCTTCTTGTTTTTCCCTTAGAAGTCGTTGAAAATGTCTCCACAGTGGTGTGATAGGAGTATTGTATTCTGCTTCCAAGCAAGGTACCAACGAATCTTTTTTAATCATAGTGCTGAAAGTCTTCCGGTCTCCCATTCCACAATGAAATTTTTCTGAAACCCTTGGCATTGTCACTATCATAGGATCTTTGGCCACCTTTATAGGACATGACCCGGAAAACACTTAGATCTCAGGATAAAGGCTCCGAAATACCAATGTGATGATCTCTACTGAATCGATAGAACAAAAATAATCAATTTCTGCCGGAAAATGAAATTAACAGCGGGCAATTCGACATCGCACAATTTGTCACCCCGCTGCCAAGCTCACTGAAAAGACCCCTGCATTCGAATATATAAAAGCCAATCGCAAAATATATGCCCAAGGTAAACTGACATAATATACCTTCGTAATATTTAATATTAAATAATACTAATATTAAATAAAAAATCCTGATTTTTTTTTTTTTAATTTTAAAATTAAATAACATTTCTCTATATAAAATATTTGAATATAAGCATATATAGGATATCGAAATTTTCCTTAATATTAAAAAAAAAATTTAATAATTTAAATATTTTTTTCTTATAATTAAAATTAATTATTTTTTTATATAATAAAAATTAAAAATTACCAAAAATAAAATTTTAAAATTTCTTTTTTATATTAAATAAAAATCCTTAATATTGTTTTTTCCGATTTTAAAATTAATTAAAATTCTTTATTAAATATAATTAAAATATTGATAAAAATAGGATTTTAAAGCTTCCCCCTTATACTAAATACCCCGTATTTAACTAGCATTTATTTTTAATAAATAATATATTTATTTTAAATTTATTTTTTAAAAAAAATTAATTAAAATTTAAATTAGGTAATTTTAAATTTTTAAAAATTAGAAATGGATACTGATTTTAATATTAAAAGGATTTTTTTGCCTACATTGACAAATTGGGTTTTTATTTTTAGATTTATATCTACCTTCCTCTTCCCCCTCCCGTCTTCCTTTTTTACTTACTCCCTCAAAGTCACACTTACTTATCTTAATTACTCACTTATTTATTGACTCACTCCTACACTCACTCACCCATTTACTTACTCACTTACTTGGGCTCCGCTGCTTTTAGATGGCAGGCGTGGAATAATGTATATTAATAAAGTAACTACACAAAATCCGGAGCGTCGATTTTTTACTGCTCTTCCGGGTTTGGAGGTGGTTTTCCGCAGTAACTCGAACTAACAAACTTTGTGCTTAGCAATGCAGTTACCAGGTTGGTGCGCAAACTGCGAGAAAGCTTACAATTTAGCTGCTTGTTTTTTTTAAGCTCTGTGCAGCTGAAAGGTCATATAAATGGCGCCCAAAGGGTGCGACCGACCAAGCCGTACAACTTTACAAGTTTAGACCTAGAACGAATTAGAGAAACATATCCATGCACCAGCGGCCGCTCTGGTATTGAGGTTGGGATTCTATAACTCCCGCTCCATAGTTACAGCACTAGACGTAGCGGTGCTTGTAGCAATAGATGCCGACGTAAGGCTGTCTCTGGTAAAAGCTGCTAGCCTGTCTTGTTTTATAGAACCGAAGGTTTTTTAGCTTGGATAAGCCAGCCTTCTCGGCTGCACAAGTGCCTGAATTTGCAGTTGAACCGCATTTGGCATAGCCATCCTCCAACTTACAGCAGCGAATGCGAGTGATACCATCGCAGAAAAAACCTGTTTTGTGAACGTTGCAGAACTAATAGTCCTACCAAGCTTTCAAAGACACCAAGCTGCCAAGGCTACCCTGGGTGGCATTAGGAACCTTGGACCTCTAAGCTGGCATGGCATGCGCAGGTTTTTCGGCATTAGCGTTACTTGGCGCTTCTTTATATGGCCCTGGAGTGTCTGGCAAACCCCTCTCATCTGGTAACTCAGTCAGCTCAGGGGAATGACCAGTTGCGTCCTCTGCACTGGTCAAGGCCAAAGCCACCAGTACCAAGTACGTTCGGCAAGACATGGCGTTATACTGGGACGAATAACTGAACGAACTGGAAATTGAAACAACTCAAGCAGAAACGCAGAAACACATCATTACCAGCATCAATAATGGATTATCGTCTTATTTTTTATCCCCAAGCTATCTTCAAACCATCTTCAAGCAAAGCAGCTCACTCACAGCTCGTTTGAGGAGTCAATAACACTGATTTAACATGGCCATCCAAACAGCAGGGCATTTTCCAGAAGTGTTATAACCAACCATAAAAACAAGGTACGCCAGAAAACCCAAAAGCAAGACGGCACACAGCGCGCCTTCTTAAAAATATGGTGGTGTGGGCAGCTGTACTTTGCACGAAATCGACGCAATATCTTTATTGAGACATCGTAAATAGTAATGGTATCAGCGGCCACAATTCGCCACAGCATGCTGCCTCAGCTACATCGGTTTTTTTTGAGTCGTTATTTCTGCTAATGTAAGTGTATTTTATCTTGCTGGTCGTTATTTATGCTTGGGTTTTCGTTTAGCTTGCTTCGCCGCAGGGGGAGCGGGGACGAAGCAGCTCCTCTGCGTAACGACTTCTCGGTGTAAAAGCTCATCT